ATTTGCTAACTTTATTATTGCCTTTTCTGTCGGACTAGTTGGGTGATACTAAAACAATTAGACCCTTCGCGCTCAAGGGCCACGGGTCAATAGCGGGCTACGGGTCTAATTGTTAACTGTGGTCCCTCATTTGTATTTGCTATTCAATCAGGAGCCATAATCGATTATGGCTCCTGATTCAATTTAATTTCATACCTACGTATTGAAGGTTAAATAGCCCATAGTTTCCCATCCCATACCAATGTTATTTTTGTACTGTCGGAATGTTTATTTTTGTACTGTTTTGTACTCTTCTTATCCATTGGGAATGACCGGACTGTACAAATAAAGCTTCTGTCACCTAAGTTACCCATAGTAATGCGATGCAAGTTATATTTCAGTATATATCATACTGTACCATCATCAGTTTGATGAGAGGGTAATACCGAAATTTATACCAGGAAATACAGCCAATCAGAATACAGGAAAGCCGTTGTATATTCGACGATATTATATCCAACCATACCATCATGTCTGTCGCATTGATTGTGTTGGCCACTGTATTTTCTATGGCATGCTATAAAATAGTTATCCAACGCTCTCTCGTGGTATATCATGGAATATCTCACTTGTCATTTGTATTTTCTTGACTTTCTTGGTCTACGCGCCGCCTGAAGACTCGTGTATACCAAGAAAATGACTGGTGGGATATTACGCTCAGTAAGAGCAGTTAATGTCCAAGGACAAATATCCGTGCAAAGTCAAATGGAGGCTATTGTGTTTATTTTCCTTCAAATATATTTCGCAACACGCGGAATGTTTAAAAATTGGTTATTCCCCAGTTTTAGCTGGGGTACATTTAACACGGGACGTGTTTAGACCAGTCGCGTGCGAGCGAAAATATTCAATTGATTATAAAACTAGCTTATACTTGTGTCCCTCTGCGTACAATTTGTGGACAAGGGAATTGATCGACTTGATCTTTTTTATTCTGCTGATATTGTCAGCATGTACTCCTGTGTGAACATAAGAAGAGTTACGGGACGAACTAGCTTGCATGTGGAACTCTCATAACCTAGTAAGCTGTAGCCTGAGTATTCGCGCTGTGGTCATTACTGTGTGCATGCAGTAGACAATTGGCCTTCGTGCTCGTTGCCTTAGTTTTTGCTGCTACACCGTGCTGACGAGACCAAACGAGGTCGAAACAGTTGTCCACGGTGTCAATTCTTGTCTTTCAGTTTGGACTCTCTCATGTCGTTGTCGCGTTAAGTTTTCTACGTAGTAATCAGCCTTTCTTCATTGTTATTCTGTTCTCAAGCATCAAGCACTTGAAAATAGACCCCTGAAACAAATTCAGAATCTAGCAGGATTATCTTCGAACAAATACCTGAAGGTTTTAATAAATGCTACATCGGACTGTTGTGTTATCAAATT